CTCCCCCACCTTCCACCCATTGAGAAAGTGAGAAGAGGCTTTTCTGTGTCATATGAGTAACACACAGAGGGCTAGACATTTTCTGTGATCCCCATGACCTCTCGAATGTCTCCAAAACAAATTACGCACCAAAGATAAAACAATTTCAGTTGTCTTCATGGTCTAGGACATGCAAAATACAAAAAAAAAGTTAAAAAAAAAAACTAAAACATGAACTGATACTTACTGACCCTAAGCTCACTCAGCACCCCTCCCCTACCTCCCCCACTACCAGCATTGAGGCAGCACTAGTAGACCCAACGACCTGACAAAGGCTTACAACAAAACCCACCCCTATACCTCAGTATCCCTTTCCTCTTTCCAGTGCCATAGAACCCCAGTTTCAGGGCACAGAAGTTTGACTGGGCCACAACAAACAACCAGCATAGCTACAGATGTTCTAGAACAATTGCAACCTCATAGCACCGATGCCGCACCAGCACTACAAAGATTTGATCTACCAATTGCCACAGCAGATAACCCCCTAACACCAGCACAGCAGCTTTCTGAACAGCCAGTGCCAGGCCAGAGAACTAAGGAATAGAGGAAGTAGGATAGGATACTGTATGAGGAGCAGAGGACTGTGTAGCACTCTACGAACCCTGAAAGAAAGAGAGGAGCATCAAGGTAAAACCAGTTCTGACCACTCAAAAATTAATTAGGGGCAGAGGCCTAGGCTACTGAGCCACGATTGCCTAGCATGGGAGGAGGCTGAGACACTTTGAAATTCAGTCTCCAAGGAAACCACCATTAGAGGGGACAGAGTCAGAAAGTGAATAGGGGGAAATCAGGAAGAAAAAAAGATTGAAATTACAAAGGATCTCAGAAAGAAGAAAATGCAAAGACCTCTAACATGAGCAGATAAAGCAACACGGAAACATTAACAATAGAAGGAAATATGGCTTCCAAATCTAGCAAATGAGTTCAGACGTCTCTGAATAAATACTGCAAAACAAAGGGAATTGACCCAATACTAGAGGAAACAGAGGAGCCTGTGTAATATGTGGGGGATATGGAACACACACACACTGTTCCTGAGTGTTTCAAAAAAAGAAATGGGAATTATGAAGGCAGAATTTTCTGCCTGCACAGCAAAAATAATGGATAGAATAGAAAAACTGGAACAGGGGATAGCAAGTTTCACCAAAGAAACAAGCAAAAACAATAGACTGCGAATCAAATCTGCAGAAGTGAAGGGTGATCTAGAAGAAGAGAAGTATTTTTGTTACTGTATAAATCATTCTCCTGATTCTACTCACTTTACTCTGCATCAGTTCATAGAAGTCTTCCTTGTTTTTTTTAAACCATCTTCTTCATCACTTCTTACAGCTCAAGTATTATATCACATTTATATACACTTAATTTGATTTGGCATTCTCCAATTGATGAGCATACCCTTAGTGTCCAGTCCTTTGCTACCACAAAAAGAGCTACTATAAATATTTTTGTACATATGGGTCCTTTCCTTGATTTCTTTGGGGTATAGATTTAGTAGTGGTATCACTGGATCAAAGGGTATATGGAGTTTAGTAGATTTTTGGGCGCATTTCCAAATTGCTCTTGAGAATGACTAGACCAGTTCACAGCTCTACTAACATTGCATGAAGGTACTTGTTTTCCCACATCCCCTCCAGCATTTATCATTTGGCTTTTTTGTCATTTTAGTTTATCTGATGGATGTGAAGCGGTTCCTCAGAGCTGTTTTAATTTGCATTTCTCTCATTTTAGTGTTTTAGAGTATTTTTTAATGACTATTTATAGTTTTGATTTCTTCCTCTGAAAGCTACCTATTCATGTCCTCTGATTATTTATCAACTGAGTAATGGCTCTTATTTTTATACATTTGACTCAGTTTCCTATGTATCTTAGAAATGAAATCTTTATCACAAAAACTTAGTGCAAATGCTTTCCTACTTCTTTTCTAATTTTAGCTGCACTGGTTTTGTTTGTGCAAAATGTTTTTTTAAATTCTATGTAATCACAATCACCCATTTTACTACTACCTGTGAAACTCTCTGTTTCATATGTGATCATGAACTATTCCCTTATCCACAGATCTGGCAGATAATTTCTTCCATGCACTTTTAATTTTCTCATGATGTCACCCTGTAAGTCTAAATCATGCACCTATTTGGAGCTTATCTTAGCATATGGTGTGAGACATTGGTCTACACTTAGTTTTTACCAGATTGTTTCCCACATTTCCCAATAGGTTTTGTCAAATAGTGTATTCTTGCCCTACTAAGTTGAATCTTTGGGTTTATCAGCATTAGGTTACTGTGTTCATTTGGTCCTATACATTGTCTATTCCACTGATAAACCTCTCTATTTCTTATCCAGTACCAAATTGTTTTGACAATTATGGCTTTGTAATATAGTTTGATATCAGATACTGCTAGATCTCCTTCCTTCCCATTTTTTTCATTGATTCCCTTGATATTCTTGACTTTTTGTTCTTCCAGATGAATTTTATTATTATTTTTTCTAGCTCTATAAAGTGATTCTTGGATGGTTTGATTGATATGGCACTGAATAAGTAAATTAATTTAGGCAGTATTGTCATTTTATTATATTGGCTTGGCCTACCTATAAGCAATTAATATTTCTCAAATTATTATTATTATGCATTTGTGTAAAGAGTGCTTTGTGATTGTATTCATAAAATTCCTGTGGGTGTCTTGGCAGGTAGACTCCTAGACATTACATATTGTCTATTGTTATTTTAAATGGAATTTCTCATTCTATCTCTTCCTGATGGATTTTGATGGTAATATACAAAAATGTAGATTATTTATGTGGGTTTATTTTATATCTTTATAAGTTTGCTTAAGTTGTTAATTGTTTCAATTAGTTTTTCAGTTAAGTCCCTTCCTTTCTTTTAAGTCCAACTCTTTTATACCTACTTCATGACACCTTCCCTAAGGTGTTACAATATCTCCTCTATATGTGATGGTAATCTCTACCCCCTCTAATTTCTCATAGCCTTACTAGCCCTCTCCTTTGCACCAATCACATTCTCCTTTATATTTTGGCCATATTTGTCCTTGTCCTTCTCTCCATTAAATTATAAAATGCTTGAAAACCAGACCTGCATCATCTGTATTTATATAACCCATAGTACCTCTAAGACACAAGGGATTGCATACTAAGGAATAAAGTTATGCTGGCGAAATAGGATCATTTGGATTTCACAACTTATGGACTGAAGAAGAGTTGATTATTAGAGGAATAATATTATGTTTTTCTCCTCTCATTGGAGGAGAAACAACACAAAAAGTGAGGAGGCTCAGGATGACATTTTTCAAATTGAGATGCCACGCTACAGTGGGAGCAATTTCTTTTACAATTTTGGTTGAGGTTGAGGATGTAAGTGAAGAGTCTGTTGGAGAGACAGATGGAAAACGAAAAGGAGAGAAACAGGAAATGGCATAGCAATGGTTAGCTGGAGGGAGTTGTATTACATGTCTTGTTAACATGAAACAACATCAACAGAACGGTAGTACTAAAGAGATGGGCCTTTGCTTTCATGGCAAATAGAATCATTAAAGGAGATTTGCAATTTCCTATAAGGAATCAAGGCTTTTGCTTTTTTCCTCCTATGCAGTTCTGAGCACAATTCATTGTCCATCTGTACTGTACCAGACACACATCTTGTTGGACAAGCTCTTTAGTGAGTCAATCCAAATGCAGGTTGAAATTTAGGCACTTTTGAAGGTTTGATTCAATCAGCACAGTGCCATCCACCAACAGGAACACCAAGAGGACCTCAACATTCACAAAGAATCCTTCTTCAGTTTGGACTCTGTGTTGAATCTATTTCATCACAATTATTAATACCTTCAGTGATCACAGATCTCTGCTTTATGTTTCACCTGTTGAGTTGTTTCTGTTGTATCTTTGTTACTTATCTTTGTTACAAAGTATGGCTGTTTGGGGAACAGGAGGGGAGGGATATATATGGGAAGGTGATACGAAAACAAAAAAATATATAATCAATAAAAAAGTTTTTAAAAGATGAAAACAGAAGTTTTCTTTTTTGTAGTAACTCTTTCCAATTATATTGTTGTAGTCACTGTGCTAAAGCAGTGGCCTGCTCATACATTCATGCTTTCCACTATTCCAAAAAACAGAAATCATGCTGCAGACGGAAAGCACAATGAACCTAGGAGTCCAGAAACCTGAGTTCAGGTATTAGCACTATCAATAAACATACAGAACCTAGCCCAAAGCAGCCTAAGTTCAGTACATAATTGTCTGTCAAAGCATTCTATGGTGTACTGATTCAAGAGTCAAGAGAGACCTGGGTTTGAATACTGTCGCTAACACTGCTTTATGAACATATGCAAGTCATTTAACTTCTCTGAGCCTCAGTTTCCCTATCTGTAAAATGGGGGAAATAATACCTGTAGCACTATTCAATTTCACAAGAATAATATATGTGAAACCTTGTGCAAGCCTTGAAAGACTATATAAAAAATGACTACTCTTATTATTTAATGAATGTAGATTAATACCAATCCATGAGACAGGAGGAAAAACTGTAATTTGGGAATAACACGAAGCTAAATATTAGCTAGACAATGAACTAAATACTATGTCAGATGAAAGCTAAGTTCCTGGTCTTCTGACCTTGAGTAAACAATTTTTACGTAAACCTGTTGTTTATTGAGAAACTCATAGGGTAAGGAAGTATTTAACGACTGTTATCTAAAATAGACTGCAGAAAACATCATTTTACATTTTATTTTTTAAAACACACAAGTTCATTCAGCCTTTCAAAATGGGACCAGTCCTTTGAGATTAACTCTTGTAGTTGATGTTTCTGTCTTTTTAAAAGAGGGTGGCATTCAGTTACTGAAGGCCTAAACATAGGCTAAAGGCAACTGAAATCCCGCCCTCTTTCTGTGACGTATACGCTTCGCGGCTTCTGATTGCAGCCTTTAGGCGTCAACCCTAGGGTGTGTATCTTACTGGGACACTGTGAAGATCTCCCCTGTTGGTTGCTGAGCGGTCGGGTGTATTGCTCTACACTGCGCACCCCCAGGGGCCCACGACCGGTCTGAACTGGAGATATCGTTCTGTGGCGCCCTCCCGCGCCGGATCTCCTTCTCCCTGGGGCGGGACGATTTCCAGAGGCTCCGGTCACTATGGTCAGTGCAATGGGTGGGAGTGGAGGGGATATGGGGTTCCCAAGCCTGGGGCGCATGTGCACACTCGGGAAAGGGGGCGAGACATAATAGATGGGGTGGAGAGGAGACTGCAGAACTCCTGGTCCACCTCCACCCCAAGCCCTTCTGTCTGAGATCCCTTTTTGCTTCTAGGGCCTTCCTTCCCATCCCCCAAATCCCACCCACCCATAACCCTATCCCTCGGACCCGGGAACCTCTGAGAGGGGAAGTCTAGGGGATCCAGACTGTCCCCCGTCCATCCTCTGAACCGGGGCGCTAAGGGCTGGATGGGGGTGCCGGGGATGGATTTTGGTAGTGAGGGTGAGGGTGAAGGTGGCTAGGTGGGGGGAGAGAGGGAAGACCCAGGCCAGGAAACCCTACATCTCTTACCACGCCAGCTTCCCAAGGTGCCCCGCCCCCTCTTCCCCTCCTGCCCCCACAAAATTTGGCTGACCCCACGAGAGCCTTTTTGGGAAAGAATTCTATATTTGGAGTCAGCTACAAAACTGGAGTACCTGGGCTCGAATGGCGACCCATCTGTTACCTCCTTTATGACCTTGGGCAAGTCATTTGGCCCCTCAGCCTCAGTTTCCTCATCTGTAAAAAACAGAGGGGATTGAACTAATTGAACTCTATGGTTTCTTTTAGCTCTAAATCCGATCCTATGAATGAATCAATTCATTAAGCATATACCAAGCGCCCACTGTGTGCCAGGCATAAGCTCTAAATCCTACCAGACCTCACCCAACTAGGTTTGACTTGATGCCTTTTTTATTTCGTGTTCAGGCGCATTCCCCACCAGTTCTTTTGGGGCAAGAACGAGAGGCCAACCCCTTCCTCCTTCCCATCGAGAGACAAGTTCGAGGGTTTGGTGCGTTGGAGCCAGGGAGGGGGTGGAAGGGCTGGGGAAGGGGTTACCCCGTCCCAAACACCCTTCTCAAGAGTCTGGGTGATCCCGGAGGTATTTATCACACCTGGCCAGCCAGGCCGCCTTTCTTTATCTTTATTGAACGTACTTTCGAAACGTGAGCCCCACCCTTCTCTCCACCTCTCTTCTGACAGGGGCTGCAGCTGGGACTGGGACGAGACCGGATTTCACTCATTAGGCTTAAATTTCCAGTGTCATTAATAGCCAGGGCACGAGTATAGGAGTTAGTGAGACCCGAGAGCAGGGTTGGGGGTGAGCAGAGAGAATGAAGAAAGACTAAAGGGGGTTGGGTTCACTCTCCTTGCCTTCCCCCTTAGCTTCTGAAGTGGGAAGAAGAAAAGAGCACTCACTTTGAATCAGAAGAACCAGGTTCGAATCAAGACTGGTATTTGAGGGACTTTGTGCAAGTCACTTTACCTGTATAAGAGTCATTTTCTTCATCTGTAAAATGGGGAGACCTGGATGTTTTCTAAAGGACTCTTCCAACCCTAAATCTTAGCCTATGAATGGGTCAGCCCATGAGGTCACCTTCGGCCAGGCTGTCTAGCCCTGAGGGCTGTGTGGGGTCAGGGTCACAGTTCAAGCTATGGTGCATTCCAAGCCCTGCCCTAGCGTGGATCTGAGTAATCGCGTGCCCAAAGAGTCAATCAACCAAGCTGTTTACTGTGGAACAGAGAGAGCTGATGGCACTGCCTTGGGGTAAACTAGTCAGTCCTGACCACGACTTGCAGTGTGCTTGTCCGGCAGGGACACTTGGTGGTTGCTCCGTGTTCGGTTCCAGTGAGAGGACAGGGATTAAACACCAGTTCCTCTGCTTACAGAGATACTGAGCTTTTTAGGGTGCCAGGGGCACTCAGAAGGGTGCCCTTTGAATACCCATTCACCTGAATGGAAAACAGGAAAAATAATAAGCCAGGTGGTTCTGATGTGTGTTAAGGCATCAGGTTATCTTATCTGCTAGCACCATCTAGTGTTTCTCTGAACTGTGGACTCAAGGATAGGGACTAGACAAGGGATTTCATTGGTGTAGGGAACCTCAGCTTGATTCAACTAGAGTTAAAATGACTTGCCCAAGGTCACACAGCCTCTATAAGTCAAAATGGGGATTTGATCCCAGGTCTTCCTGGTTCCCTGGTCCAGGCAGCCCCTCTTAATGTTAGCAACAGTAAAAGGCCATCTAATGTAGTCTCCAAGCAGCCCCTTTTTAGAATCCCACATCATAGTCTCCGACTGAGACTCTGTATGGGTAATTAGAAAGGGCAAAAGGGAAGGGAGAGTAGAGGTTAGCAAGAAACACAGGAAAAGGACTTGTTTAAGAAGCAGCATAAATAAAGATTATATTAGAGTGAATGGAAAGTAACAAACAGACACACTTGAAGTTCAGAAAGGAAGCTGCATCTTCTGTCTTCTATAGCCCAGATCAGGAGGCAAGGCTCCAGACAATCATGTAATTTTAGAATGAAGAAGGATGTTAGACGTCATCTATTCCAACCTCTTTGTTATATAGATAAGGAAATGATACCTGGAGAAATTGAGTGACTTGTCCAAGGTCATACGGCTCTTAAGTGGCAGAGTTTGAACTGAGTCCTTTGGATCTCCAAAGCCAAGGTTCTTAAACCATACTACCATACCGATGCCTAATAGCCCTAAGTCAATGGCAAACCATCAAGTGGGGACCTCCTATACTTAACTCAGGTTTTCAGTTAAACAATTAATTGTCTGCTATATGTGGAGCTCTGTATGAGGTGATAGATGAAATAAGTTTACTTAAGAGAGAATCTGTGTCCTTATGGAATTCAATAGTTGGATGGAAAGCAGTCAGCCATAGTCACAAATGAAGAAGATACCAAATAAGTAGATCAGAGAGGTGCTAACCTATTTGAAGTCCAAGGGGTTCTTACTGATAGGGGATCAAGGGGACTTTTTGGAAGAGGTGGTATTTGTTGTTGTTGTTGTTGATCTGTTCTCAAAGAGGACCGATGACATCAGAAGGGTGATGTCTTAACTTGCAAGTGAATTGGATTTAAGTGAGGCCGAGCTGTGCGGTCACCAGCCTCGCTGTTTTCTCCAGAGTCATGGCCACATTCAAGTTCTTACTGTGTTCAGGTTATTCTGCTAGGTGCTGGTATAGTATGAGATAAAGCTGGAAGTCTGGTGGTACTGGGTTGTGGAAGGCCTTGAATTGTAGGCGACAGGGAAGGGAGAAAAAGGAAGGGAGGGAATTAACATTTTTGTAGCACCTACTATGCACTGGGCACTATACTAAGTATCTTTTTATAAATATTATTTCATTTGATCTTCACAACAGCACTGCAAGCTTGGTACTGTTATTATTATCATCCCTATTTTACAGTTGAGGAAACTGAGGCAAAGGGAAGATAAATGACTTTTGCAGGGCCACACAGCTAGTAAGTGTTTGAGATCAGTTTTGAATTCAAGTCTTCATGACTGGAGGCCCAGTGCTCTATCCACTGTACCACCATCTGCCTTTAACAGAAGCAGAAACAGATTTTCTAACTTACTCATTAAACGACAAGTTGTCACTGAAGATTTTTGGACAGATGAGAGGAGTGATTTCTGGGATATTTCATTAAGCTTTGGATGCTATATTTTAGGAGGCCCCCTGACAAAATGTTGTCCAAACAAGAACAACCAGAATAATAAGAAAACTCAAAACTGTCTCAGAAAGATTGGTTGAAGGACTTGGCAATGTGTCATATGGAAAAGAAATTACTTGGGGTGACCAAGCCATCTTTAAATATTTGAAGGGCTGTCACACGGAAAAAGGATTTGTGTTGCTTGGCACATAGTAAGAACTTAGTAAATACTGTTTCTTTCATTCACCTAGGTGGAGTTACAGTGTAGATACTTGAAGATGTGGGTCCAGCTAACTGTGGAGAGGCCAGGGCATTGTGGAGTAGGTATAGATTTTAAGGCAACTAGGTGGTGCAGTAGATACAGTCCCAGGCCTGGAGTCAGGAAGACCTAAGTTCAAATCAGGCCTCAGACACTTAGTAGCTGTGGGACCCTGGACATGTCACTGAACCCTGTTTGTCTCAGTTTCCTCATCTGTAAAGTGAGTTGAAGAAGGAAATGATAAACCACTTCAGTATATTTGCCAATAAAACCCCAAGTGGGGCCACGAAGAGTAGGGCATGACTGAACACACCAGAAACCTAGATTTAGAAGTCATTTGCCTAGGGGTGACAGTTGAAAGTGAATTAGACTGCCAAGGCAGAGAATGTACACAAGGGAAAGAGAAGAGGTAAAAAGACAGTGTGATGTTTGCTGTCTGTTCAATTGTACAAACATTTACCGAGCACCTATATAGAAGGCCCTTGCTAGGAGGACTAAGTAAGAAGACTTTTGACTCATTGTCAGTTAGATATGTCCTTGGAGAGAGTTAGCAAGATGTGGGAGATAGTGTGGTGTGGTAGAAAACCACTGTACTTAGAGTCAGATATAATAATAATGATGATGATGATGATGATATTTAGCATTTTAAGTAAGCACTTAACATACATTATCTTAATTGGTCTTCACAACAACCTTGTGAGGTAAATGCTCTTATTATACCCATTTTATAGATGAGGAAACTGGAGCTGAGAGAGGTTAATTGACTTGCCCAAGGTCACACAGCTAGTTTAAATGTCTGAGGTAGAATTCAAACTCAAGTTTTCCTGACTCCAAGTCCAATGCTCAATCCACTGTAGCACCTGGTTTCAGTTCCTGGCTTTTTTGGCATACAGTATCTGGCACATAATTGGTGCTTAAAAAATGTTTATTGATTAGGTATATGACCTTGGTCAAAAAACTTCCCCCTGTGAGCCTTGGTTTCATCATTTGTAAAATGAGGGGATTGAGACCCCTTCCAGCTCTAAAATTTCTATTATCCTAATAGAATGTTATTCTCATTCTAGAATTCTAACATTCTAGAATAATATATTCATATAATTCAGAATAATTTAATTGAGTCAAATTGTAATTGTAATTGTAGTCAAATATTCTGACTACCACCAGTAGTTAGAATTTGTTGTTTGGCTTCCACCAATTC